GATGAGTGAGCCGAAGGACTGTGTGACCCTTGTGTATGATGGTAGCGTTCAAAGACAGGGGCCAAAGCATCATCCATGTACTATCACACGGCATGCATATTGATAAACCGTTTCGGGAAAGCAAGCCACCTTTCAGGGAGAAGTGTATGCATGTGCGAGAGATACTCATATGTGTCATAGGAGTTGTGGTCGCATCAGGTCTAGGTGACATTGGCCCGTACCTAAGGGAGAACCTGAAATTCACAGACTGGGATAGCGACCCATTGGCTCATCGGCTAGACTTTGGTGACTCACTAATGAGCTCCTGCATGGACTATGGGTCATGGGAAACACTGGGTCGGTTTGATAAAGCAAGTGTGATCTGTAGTCCACAGTTGAAGGTGGAGTGCCCTAGAGTTTAATTGATTTAATTCCTAGACCATATAGATCATTTTCCTATCTAATAAATTTCATTACGTTTGTTTTATGATATATATGATTTTAGAATTATTATTTGAATTTTTCTAGATCTCTAGATATTTTATTTATCAAATTTGGATTTATAAAATCAGAGATATTACTTTTACATTGATTTAAATATTCAAATAAATTCTAAAATTATTTTATTGATTTATAAAAATATTTAAAATTGCATGGGGGCTCATTGTGCACATGGGCCCACCATGGCCTAAATGGTGGGGCCCGTGAGATTCTCTCATGGGTGGCATGCCCCACCCATTTAGAAGCTTTTTATTTTTGTGATAAGTGATTTTAGCTTATAAGCCAAGTTGCTATGTGTTTTGGAAAGGAATTGGCTTGATGAAGCTTTGAATGAATTTTTGGAAAGCATGTGAAGACTTGTGCATTATTTTAGTATGCTCAATATTATATTTAGAATTATTTTATTTAATTTCTATTAATGGGAAAACGATTTATGAGAGGGGGATAAATGTTCTAGCACCTTCCATAATATTGATTGCCCGTTTATAAAATAGATGACTCAAATCTGTCACCCTACAAGTCACCCAAGATCAATGGTTCATATTCAATTTCACAGAGGCAAGCCAATGAAAACCCTAAAAAACTCTAGTATTGTTTAAAGCATATAAAAAAAAGATTGTTTCTATCCAAAATCTCTATACCTTATCTTTCTATCTATCTCTTAAGAAAGTTTGTCTCTTTCATTAAAGACTAAAAGGGCCACACCCCACTCTCTTATCATTGATCTCTCTCTCACATTGTGACGAACCTAAGGGTTTAGGCTATGGGGTTATTATCTCTCTCATCTCTTAACTATGGATTAATGGCTCAGGGCTTTAGGGTATAGTAAAAAGAGAATTCATCTCTCTCAAACTAAGTTGCTAAGGGAATTCACCTAGGGTTTGAGTTTGTGATCAAAGGGGTTCATGTTCTATTGATGCGGCTTGACCTAAACTTGCCTTCCCAGTTGAGATTGAAAGTTGATCATTGATCACGCACCATCGGATGGTGGTAACTCGGTGTGGGGTGTAATAAGCCCGGTTGAGGTAATCTCCAGCACTCTCTTTTTGTTTCTTGTCATATTTAATTATATTGTCTTTATATTTCCAAGCATAAAAATTATGTATTTTTCTTTGTTTAAAAAAAATTGGTTTAATGATATCAAGGTTTTTAAGATATTGGATTTCTTAGTTTTATAAGACTAATTGTAAGTGATATTTACTAAAAGAAAAGAAAAAAAAAGGGTGAAAAGAATGAAAAAAAAAAAAAAAATTACCCGACAAGATCTCATTAGTCATTCTTTTATCCCTTCTCACTATTTCATCTATGTATCCTAATATGTTCTCTTCATTTAAAAACATGGATATGCCTGTGAGGCTTCCAAGGGCTCCCATTATGGAGCTCTAAAGGACAATACAAGATTTTTGGGGTTGGCATCAGAATCCCAGCACAACATGTGCCGGGTCGGGTACAAGATCTACCAGGGGCGGCACTTCTTTTTTGCGAACTGCACATTCCGGAAATTTATCATGCATGCAATGGTGATGAATCGTCTCATTCATAAACTTAAAAGTGAAAGAGCTCTTCACCACAATTACGAAAACGAGCTGTGAAGGGCACTTGCATGATGTGTGTGATATATTTCCCTACAAGCATCCGGGGCTACAAAACCTCAAATGAGTTTTCATGAAAAAGGTAGTTAAAATGGTGTTTTTCATTTCGGTGTGGTTTGCATGAGGTTGTAACCTTAAACAATCTAATTAAGGCCCACTTTCAAATTTTATCATGTAATTTTGGTGTAAAAAAATCTTTGGATTGCCTGAAAATCTATTTCCAACTCTAATTATAAAATTTTAAACTCCAAAAATAGTTCAAATCAAGTAGATCCATAAATATAGAAAATTCTTGAAAACTGACAGCTTAAATAATGTGTTGCAAGTGCACTATTTCTGGGACTCGAAATCTTTTTTTTCTCATATACATCTCGATGTCGAGATGATCAATTAGAAGGTTTTTTAACATTAAAACAATATTTTACGATGGATTTTTGAGGTGCAACCTTAAGTCTACATTTTAAGGTTGCAACCTTATATAACTATTTTCTTTTTTATTTTTACTTATTTCAGAGCCATTCATTTTAGTTATAGCTGGGGCCACCATTTTTTGAAATCCGTTGGGGAACATATGTTGAATTGCGGCGCCTTTCCATTAACTACTTTCCAATAACCAAGTTATTGACACTACTCTTTATAATCCAAAGTGTATAAGGCAATGGTTTAAAAACCGGATCGGTGATCCGGATCGGGCTTTT